ATGTCAAAACCTTTTGATGAGGCTTATTCATTAATAGAAGAGATGGCTACCAACAATTTTCAATGGCCCTTTAAAAGGGTAAATCCTAAAAAAGTAGCTAGTATCCACAACTCTGATGCAATATCTATGTTAGCTTCGCAGATTGGTGCAATATCAAAGAAATTAGATCATTATGGAATGAATTATTCTCCAACACCTACTATGATGGAAGAGAATTCACTTAGGCAATTTGTGGATGTTCAACCTTCTTATTAGACCTTAAATGCTATTAACAATAGACCCAACAATCCTTATTCAAAATATTATAACCCAGGTTGGAAGAATCGTCCTAACTTTAATTGGAATAAATATTCTTCTACAAATCAATAATGGGCAAACAACCCAGTAAACCCATTGGGAATTTCATCCAATAAGGAAATGTTAATTATAGTCCTTCTTATCCTCTAGGATTTAACAGTAATACTTAATTTAAGGAAAAGAAGCTGTCAATGGAAGAGCTGATACTGAACACGGGTCAACAATTGCAGAATAAAGAAAATCAATTACAAATTCAAGGAAACCAGTTACAAAATCAAGGAACTGTTATCAAGAATATTGAAAACCAATTCAGGCATATCACTACTGAGCTTAGTAACCGAACATTAGGAACTTTTCCTAGTACAGTGGAACCAAATCCTAAAGATCAAGGAGAAGAATAGATAAAAGTGATACAATTACAAAGTGGAAAAAATTTGGAAATAAGAGTGCAAAAAAAAAATGGAAACTGAAAAATAGAAAGTGAAGACAGAAAAAGAAAAGCAACATGAATACCCAGATTTAGAATATCCACTTACACCAATGAAAATTACTGTGGAGAAACCTCGACCACCATTTCCTCAAAGATTAAAGAAACACAAAAATGATAATAAATTTTTCAAGTTTATAGAAATTCTTAAGAAATTAACGGTAAATATTCCTTTCGTAGAAGCTTTAGAGCAAATGTTCAATTATGTAAAGTTTATAAAAGATATTTTGAACAAGAATAGGAAGTTCACTGATAATGAGACCGGTGCACCTAGCGAAGACTGTAGTGCAATTATTTAGAAAAAGCTTTTTGAAAAATTAAAAGATCCATGTAGTTTCACTATACCGTGTGCTATCAATGAAAGATTTAATGGAAGAGCTTTATGTGATTTGGGATCCAACATTAATCTTATGCCTTTATTAACTTTTAAAAGATTAAGATTAGGAGAAGTCTCACCTACTTCTGTAACACTTCAATTAGTGGATCATTGAGTTACTTATCCTAAAGGAGTTATAGAAGATGTGTTAGTAAAAGTTGATAAATTTATCTTTCTTGTGGATTTTATTGTTTTAGATATGTAGGAAGATAAGGAAATACCTATAATTTTAGGGAGACCTTTTTTAGCTACTGAAAGAGCTATGATAGATGTTCAATCAAAAAGGAGAATTAACTATGAGAGTTAATGATCAGGAAGTGACTTTTAACATTGTGAAATCTATGAAAAATCATGTTGTTTTAAGAGATAATGAATGTTTTTGCATGGAAATTAGTGAACATCTTTTGAACGAGCATTTTAAAGAATATTTTGAAGAGAAAAAAGATTTTGAAAATAAAGATGAAGTTATTTTGGATGAAATAGAAAATGACGAATTAGATTATGTTCATGAAATATTTGAGATGTTGGATATTACAGAAAATACTCATAATAATCTAGTTCCGTCAATTATAAAACCACTTGAACTTGAGTTGAAAATATTGCTTAACCACTTGAACTCATCTACATTACCTGTTATTATTTCTTCAGAGTTAAATGATTTGCAAGAGTAAAGACTTTTGCATACATTAAAAAGATATAAGAAAGCTTTTGGTTGGACCTTAGCTGATATTAAAGGAATCGGTCCTTCGATCTATATGCACAGATTTATACTGGATGAGCCTTATTTATATAAACAATGTAAGAATCTTATTATGAGAAGATGTGTACCTTATGAAGAAACTAAACTAATCATTCAGAAATGTCATGATTCTGAATATGGAGGACATTTTGAAACTGATAAATTAGCTTATAAAATTTTACAAGATGGATTCTATTGGCCTACTCTTATTAGAGATGTTTACAGATAAATAAAAACTTGTGATCGATGCCAACGAGTAGGCAATATATCAACAAGAAATGAAATGCCTCTGAATTTCATGTTAGAAGTTGAGATCTTTGATGTTTGGGGATTGAATTTCATGGGACTATTTATTCCTTCATCTGTGAATTTATACATATTAGTTGCGGTAGAGTACGTTTCATAGTGGATT